CTCCCTCTCTCTCTCTCTCTCTCTCTCTCTCTCTCTCTCTCTCTCTCTCTCTCTCTCTCTCTCTCTGTCTCTCTATATATCTCTCCGTCTCTCTCTCTCTCTCTCTCTTTCAGTCTCTTTCTCCTTCTCTTTATCTCTCTCTCTCTCTCTCTCTGTCTCTCTCTCTCTCTCTCTCTCTCTCTGTCTCTCTCTCTCTCCCTCCGCATTCCACGTTTCATGTCGCGACGATAGTGATGCTGCTGGCGGTCTGGACCGCGGCGATGGCGTTGCTCAGAATGATTGTGAGGATGACCGTGGCTGTGACGATTCTGCTGGTTCTGCTGATGCCGGTGTTGAAGTTGATACGGCAGCGGAGTATGACAGCGATGATGCCAATGATGGTGATGATGGCGATGATGATGATGGTGATGATGATGGTGATGTTGATGGTGATGAAGCTCCACGGCCCGAGACTGTGAGTGGTGCCCCGTAGAGGGCTCTGGTTCGGGGCTTTGTTTCGGGGTGTTGTGGTGGTGTTTGGGCTTTGCCTTTGGATGGGCCCTCATGGAGTGCAGATGCGGAAGCCAGCTGCACAGCTGGATGGTACCGCGGGCGACCCGATCGAGGATATGGGCGCTGCTGATGATGACGTTGATCGTGGGCATCGAGCTCGCCGTCGACGACTGCAGCCCGAAGCACCAGATGCACCGAGGGGGCCACCTCCGCCCCAACCACAAACTGTGGGACCGGCCTTCAGGATCCATGGCAGAAACCCTTCACCTTTGCGGATGGATGTGGACTCCGACGACATCGAGGACCCCAGCGAGGACTCTTCTGACTCGACGGAAGTCCCAAGTGTTGTGTCCTTGGTGCTACAAGGACCTCCTCTGGAAAGGGCCAAGGATCTTCTGGTCAACCTGCACCGTCGGGAGCTTTTGGCCACCATGCCTGGAGCTACCAACCGTACCCTGGGAGCACGCGTCGGCTGGACGAGGAGGCACCTGGCAACATGTGATTGGATGGCTACCAAGCACATGGCCGAACGCATCCTCACTGGATCTCGTCTGCTGGACTGGAAGGCTTTTGATGCTGAGGAAGGACATGCACCCAGAGATGAATGAACTTCCCTGGCAAGGCACACTTGCTCCATACCGGGCACCACTCCTACGAGCCAGAAGATTCCGAAGGCACCTGCGCCTCATCCCACCACATCCCTTTTGGGGGTCTAGTCCTTATATGCCCCTGTGTGGTCACGATTGCTCCCGTAGGAAACCCAGACTGTTTAAGTCCCATCACCCTACTAACCCTCTGCAACCTCAGAACCCTGGCCCCACATGCCCCAGGCGTTCTGCATGGAACGCGGCCTGTGCACCAAGTGCTGACATGAAGCCCGCTCCGCAGCGGAAGTGCCACCAAGGCCATAATCCTAATAATCCCCGTAAGCCCCCAAAGCACCATGAACGAAACTCACTGTCAGGTAATGGCTGCAGCGGTCCCAAGTCCGCTGGCTGCAGATTAGCAATCATCAGCCTGACTCAGCTTTCATCTGCAGCTGGAGCGAGGGTTCCACCTAATGCCGTGGTAGGTGGGGGACCTCACTCTTCGGAGTGGGGGAAGCGACACGGCACAGCGCCAAGAGAAGGCCACAACATAGGATCCCGACTCCCTGAAGCCACCAAAAGAGCATATCGTCGTGCCAGGAACCGTGCAGCCCGTTCCTTGGAAGGCGGGACCTTCTACCGGGGACAGTGGCACACCTCTGTCTCCCTTAATGCCCTAGCGCATGTGGACCCCTCCCCGCTCCTTAAGCATTCCCGTAGGCGAATTCCAGGATGCACCCGACATCCCACCATAAGAGTCTTTAGCTGGAACACGGGAGGCCTCTCGGGCCCTGCTTTTCAGGAACTAGTTGCTTGGTTGGATTCAGAAGCCACCTTTGATGCTGTCATCTTGCAAGAAACTCATTGGCAATCAAATAGCGACTTTAGGAGTGGCAAATGGCTTTGCACTCATTCCTCCGGCTATGATTCGAACTTAGCAGTGGATAGATATGGAGGCATACTCATCATGCTACGCCAGGATGTCTTCAGTGATCCTTCGATCAATGAGATATATCCGGGTCGCTTGTTGCATGCTCGAGCCCTGCACAAAAAGAGTCAGCTCAATGTGGACATTATTGGCCTCTATCAACATGTACATCGTCCCAACCTTACGCCCGATCTCAACCAGAAATACAGAGCCGATATTTGGGGCAAACTCTCTGCCCTTGTCAATCACCTACCTCAGAGAAACCCGCTTGTACTTGGAGGAGACTTCAATTCGCAGCTGGCTGCTTGCAGACCCCATGTTGGGGCGTCACACCTTACCGAAGGCCAGAAGGGGGATAAGCAACTGCATCGTCTTCTTGAGACGTGTGACCTGTGTGTGCTGAACAGCTGGCATGCAAATCCGGGTCATACTTACGAATCATCTTCGAGTCGCACAAGAATTGACTATGTAGTTACTAAACTTGCTGATGCCAAAGGCCAGGCCAGATATGCCAAGCCCAACCATCTTTTCCCCGTCAAAGCCTACAGTCTCGCGGGACATTGGCCTGTGGAGGCCATCATCCCAGTTGTGCCGTTCTGTCGACGGCCGCCGGAGGGTCAACCGACTCCAGCAGCCTTTGCAAAGGATGACCTGTTGATTGCATTGCACTCCAACAGTGCAGCAGCCCAGGCCCTACAGTGTGACGTTGGGGATAGGCTCGCGACCCTTGCGGGCTCCTCACATGACCTGCTGCTAGTCCGCAACAATATCAATCAGATTCTACTTGATGCAGCTGTGCAACACTTCCCGCCCAGAAGTGTGCAAGATAATCGAATCAGTGCCCAGGGTGTCTTCCGTGCCTCAGCCAAGCACACCTGGCAACTGTATCGGGTGCTCAAGGCGCCCCGCATTACCGTGCCGCACTCTGTCTTCCTTAAATGGAGGGAAGCCTGCGCCTTTGCCAAGGCCTCCAAGCTGCTTCGAGAGCAAAGTCGGCAACTCAAGCGACAGTCCCTGTTGGACAAGCTCGCTGAAGCTGAGTCCGCTGCAGCCAAGGGGGACCAGCGTGTGCTTCACAAAATTGTGCGAAGCCTGGCTCCCAGAAGCTGCAAAATCATCTCCCGTCTGCGTGACCCGCAAGGTCAGCCTCTCGGGAAAGAGGCTTCCCTTCAAGCCATGCTGGCTTATGCCAAGGACACCTTCTGCACCATACCAGACGTAGACAGCATCATGGTTCTCCAAAAGGATTGGCCTCACACACATCAGGAGGTTCAGGTGGAGCTCCAGAAGCTTGGTTTCTTCAAGGCTGTGCCACAGGGTGTTGCTCCTGCCGCCCTTTGGAAGTGCTGTGCAGGGACAATCGCACCTGTCCTGAACGAAGCCTTCCAACAGCACTTCAAGGCGGGCAGCAGTGAATGCCTTCAGGACAAGCTACATGATGCATTCATCACTCTCATCCCTAAACCCACCAAACCACCCACAGCTGTGGAAAACATGCGACCCATTGGGCTGCAGTGCCCCAGTGCGAAGGTCATTGCCGGGGTCCTTAGGCAAAATCTGTTGGATGTACTTCTCCCTCTAGTCAAAGATCTTCCTCAGTATGCCTACGCGCGCCAGCGTGGCACCTTCGATGCAATTCTCAGGGTACATATGCATTTTGAGGAAGCACGTGTCTTGCTACGAACCAACTGTGTTGATCGATTCCAACAGTATGAAGGTAACAGGAAACTGGCCTGCATCGGAGCCTTGAGTCTTTCCTTAGATCTGTCGAAAGCCTATGACCTCACCAGCAGACCCATTGTCTACGGCACATTGGCCGAGCATGGGGTGGATCCGGACACAATTCAGATCATCCAACAATTGCATCTTGATGCCCAGTATGTTTTTCGTGCCGGGGATAGCACCAAAGGGCAAACCACGACTAATGGACTAAAGCAGGGTTGCTGCATAGCTCCCTTCCTCTGGAGTTTCTATACTGTAGCCCTCATGCATGCACTGCGGAACAAGCTTGGGCCACATTGGCTTCAACAAACCCTCGTGTTATTTGCGGATGATCATTGGTGTCATTGGCTTATCCGGAATCGTCAGGACTGGCAGAATGCACTTGCACAGCTGGTAGTAGTCTTGGAAACCTTGGTATCCTTTAAAATGTCCATAAACTATCGTAAAACTGCGATTTTATTGCGACTTGAAGGCAAAGAGGCCAAGGCAATTATGTACGAGCACACTCGCCTTAAGAACGGAGTCAGACACCTTGTCATCACTGTCTGCGGGCGAGAGGAACTCATCCCCATCAAAGATGAGCATGAGTATCTCGGTACAAAGGTCACGTATCATCACCGCCTTGACAGAAACCTCCGCCATCGTTTGCAGGCTGGACAGGCCAAGTATCAAGCTATCCGGAAGCCCTTAAATGGCCACCACCACCTTAGCACGCGACACCGTGAAAGATTGTGGCGAGCCTGTGTCTCCACCAGCATGCTTTATTCTCTGCCGGCTGTAGGTGTCACGGGACATGGTCTGGACAAGCTCACCAAGGCCTGCACCCGACATCTTCGGGCAATCCAGAGGCAGCCGGCTCATCTAACACATCTCCCCAATACAGCCATATGGCAGCAAGCCGCGATGGACATGCCAGGCCGAATGCTCCTCAAAGCCCTGACCAGCTTTCGAGAAAATCTGCAGCGGAAGGCAGTAATGTCACCTGACATCACAACACAGCCAGGTATCCTTGATCATTTGTGTCACCTGGAGGCCCAGCTCCAGCATCAGGTGCAACAGCAGGAGCAACATGATGCCAACGTGTCGGACTCCGAAGTCCCGCAAATCCCGTGTCCGGAGTGTGATGCATTCTTCCTGACGGAGAATGCAATGCGCATACATTGTCAGGTCAGCCACGGCATTCTTCCTCCACGTGCAGCTTGTGAGCCCACCAAGTTTGTCCCCCGGCTTCATGCCTGTGGTGGTCTCCCGAGATGCCAGCTTTGCCTCAGGTCCTTTTACCGCTGGCAAAATCTCAAGCAACACATAGAAAGTGGAGCTTGCACGAAGCTCGGAGGAGAAAGCCAGAGTAAATGTCCAGACTCTTGCCGCGACTCCCAGGTCACGGACCTGGGTCTTCCGACGGCCTCTGAGCCGACAGATGCGGATCATGGTATAAAACAGAATGTGCCTCTTGTAGATCGTCAGCTCTTTCGCAGCAAACAGCATGACTGGGAAAGCCTCCTACGGGACTCTGCTCTACGTGTCGAGCTCAGGTCGCATTGCAGCATTTGCCACATGTGGGTTGCCAGCTTCACTCATATGAAACAGCATATGCAGATTCATGACACTGAAACCCCAGGTCTGCACAAAAGCACCCTTGAACTGTGCCATAGCTTCAAAAGCCAGCTGGTCCGTGGACGCACTTGCCCCTGGTGCAAAGGCAATGTAGGAGCCCCGGGTCGACATTCCCAGCAGTGTGTCATTCTTTATCAAGTGTGTGCTGCACGGCTCCGCTACCAATGGTCTCAGGTCACTGCTCGAGGCGACAGAGGTGAATCCGGAGGCCAGCATCTTCGCCTTCTGCGATCCTTCGCTGCTGGCAAAGGCCAAGCAGGAAACCAAGCAGGAAGTGGAGCTGGATCCGGAGGGTCTTCCCAATCTGGAGGAGGCCAATCAGCCCCCAAAGCGCCCGCGCCCGGAACCCAATCCTCTCTTCGTTCCCAATGGCAACACCCAGCTACAGCGACGAGGGCAACATCCGTTTGCAGCCCGAGGGCAACGAGGACCGAAGCACCATCAGTCACAGCCCCTGCTGAATGCCATGGATCCCAACCTGAGGGCAATCATCAAACTGATGTTGCAACACGAGGACATGTTAGCAGCTCAGCGAGTGGACAAGGTGTTCATCCTGTTTGTCAGACAGGATTACGCCAGCATCATTCCCAACTTGCATTCGATCTCTCAGCAGTTTCATCAGAAGACACAGGACAGCAGCGGCGACCCACAGATCACGTCCCCGCTGCGAACGCTACTCATGGCTTGCTTGATTCGGGAAAACTTAGCCCGGATTCAGAAGATGGTATCCACGAGCGAAGGCCAGGGGAAGCTCCAGGCGGCGGGTTGGATGAACGACAAAGGGGATTGGACCTTCTTGAAATTCTGCCACAAGACTCGGAAACTTGTGCAGGACACCTCCCGCACGTGCATGAGCCATCAGGAGATAGTGAGACAGTACACCTTCCTGCTGGAGAACATGAAGGGCGAGATTGTTCAACAGTTCAACAGCACCCAATCCCTGAAGGTTCTCGAAGCACAGACTGGTCCCAAACCCCAGGCCACGTTCATTCTGCAAATCTCCTTGAGGGGAGAACGTGCCAACGAGATGCACGAGACAATGTGCACACTGTTGGGCAGTGCCACTTGGCAACTGGTGGGAGTGAGCCTCAAACGCGGGACCCTCAAGAGGTCCCCTCTAGCGGAACAGCTAGCACAGCTGGTGTACGGACGATGATGGCAACAGCTGAGCTCGACTTTTGCAGCCCGGGCCTCACCCTAAGCCGTAATATACCCAATTTTAGTCTCCACAATCCTGGCAACCACTGCTATGCAATTGCGTTTCTGTACGCGCTTGACGTCGCGGTGCAATGCACTAGCTACGCTGCTCACATGCACCAAAGCTTTCAAAGATTCCAAGGTCAACAGCGGGGTGGAGTCTTTAAACTCCTGGGGTTCTGTGCCTTGGGGTGGTGTGGCCCTGAGAGCCAGCATGATGTTAGCGAGTTTATCGACTTTCTCCACTGGCAACTCCTGCCTAGGTCCCTCGATGGGGTATGGCAGGGACGAAGGCAAACAGAGGCAGGCCACGTGCATATCACGGTGGGCACACCACTCTCCAAATGCATTGGTTTAGTTGCCCCCCCTAGGCATAGCCCCGACATACAGGATTTAATCAACTTCTGGTCAGCTCAAGAACACTGCCAGGCTATGGTGCATCCCATGCCTTGGCTTTTCTTGCAGCTTCCACGCTTCAGGTACGAGGGCAGTCATGTCTCCAAAACCCAGGCATGTTATCGGGTAGTCAGCACACTGCAGGTGCCGCTTTTTGTCGACAAGCAGACGCTTGACATAAAGTGGCTGCCCTACCGTGTTGTGGCACTCATTTGTCACCATGGCAACTTGCCCACATCAGGCCACTACACGGTGGCGATGCCCACGCCTGACGGCTTCACGATTCTTGATGATGATCGGAAAAACACTGTGCAAGAGTCACAATGCTTGCAAGCGATTGGACGAACCATGTACATTGTTGTTATTGTCAACGACAGCCTTGTTAGCACACGTAGCGGCACGCTCCCTGGAAGTGCCCCTCCTGTTGAGCCTTGTATCACCGCAGCTTCGCACTCTGCCTCAGATCTCAAGGCCTCATCTAGCTCCCATGGCCAGAGTGTGGCTTCGATACATCGATCTTCACGGCGAAGAATGGGTGGCCAGCCAGATGTACCTCCAAGAGGTCCTTCTGCATCAGCTCGTACAGGACCATCACATACTGCAGCAGCGACACGACAAGCTTCAGTACCAGATCGAACTTCTGATCCGACAGCAGAATCAGAGGTATTATCAAAGCGGGAACAAAATCGGACGAAACAAGTGCCACAACAACATCCGGCCACAGGTCATCGATCTGGATACAATGGACGAATGAACGCACCTCCGATGTCGTCTGCCTGCAATGCTGGAACTCGTTCTGGCATCAAATGGTACTTTACCAGAGCGGCGAGCTCTGGCTGATGCGGATATCAGCTCACTTGTGCATTTCATTTACATTCTGGCTACCAGTATTTTCCTGTACAGCGGATCCTGCTTCATAAGCGAGCGGCCTACTCTTATGAGCATCAGTGCTAAGCCGTGCAATCGGCCGGTGTGCTTTTAATCCAGTCACACTGTTGCGCACGCTAGTCGAGAGACCTTCTCACTGCGACGGAAGAAGTTGATGGTGATGACGATGAGGGTATGGTGGTAGCAGGTTGGCTTTGCAGTCATTACAGACTTGCGCGATGGAGGTCTCTTCGATCCCTGGTATGAATATGTGAGCATCTTCGGTCTCCAGAAACCCTCTTGACTCCCCAAGTCTTGGCCGGTGCGGATTCCTAATATGTCGCCGCGATGTTGAATTTGCGGAAATGAAAGGTCATTGAAGTTCATTATGAAGGTCCTTTCCATCCGTGCCTGGGCTGGATTCAGGATTGGGGCCTAAACCCTATAAACCCTAAAATTTAGGGACCCCTGGACCCTAAACTTTGTGGGCCAAGTTCTCGCCTACCCTTGCAAAGTCCGCTTCGAGACTCAAACCTGGTGTCTGGTTCATTGAATTGGCAGTTCTCCAAATTAGGGTCCCCATTAGGGTCCTGTTTATAAGGGTGTCGAAATATTTCGGGGACCTACAAAGGGACTTGCTTGGATTTAGAGAGCTGCCCTCATTCAATCCGAGTGTTGCTGCGTTTACGTCATTTTCTCTGCGTCCTTAAACCCAAGACCCTAAACCGCTCTGAGGCTTCCCACATGGCTTGGCTCCTGCCTGTCGGCACTTTTGGCAGCTCCTTGGTCTCTTTAGGGCTTGGAGTTTACTGCTCAAGTCTAGGGTCTCTTGTTTCAATATAGTATCTCTCTCTCTCTCTCTCTGTATATATATATATATGTATATATATATATGTGTGTATGTACATGTTGTTAATGTCTCTGGTGTACATATAGTGATGTAATGTTTTAGGTCTCAGTGTTTATGTATGAAGGTCTGCTGTTTGGGTTGGCCGCGGGTTAAGGGTTCCGGTTCAGGATGGTTCAAACATGTGGCTGTTGATTTCGGGTGCTCAACACAGTCCCTAGGGACCTTAAGCTTTAAATCGTTCCTTTCATAGGAGGCCAAAAGGGTTTTTAGCCTATGGTGGTTTAGTATGGGTTAGGGTTCCCATAATGGGGTTCATATTAAAGAATCCCTACCCCAAGAATCTTAAACCACCGTTTTGGCCTCCCATCATTCTTGAGCAACCCAACAAAAGCTTGCTTATGTGGAATTTGCAAACTCGGCTTTGTTGGGTTCCTGAACTCTCATGCCGATAGATGTCAGAACCATGAACATCTCACCAGCAGTTGCAAGAAACCAGCTGAAGCACATTCACCTGGGCCTCCATCTATGATTCCTCTCGGGGTGCAGGGTGTCGGCTGGCCGTCTTTGCTTAATGCCCTTGGATCTGCTGTATATGAGGAACCCCTTCAAGTCACCAGGGTTGCGGGCTTAGGTTCTAGGGTTCACGAAGTTTAGAAGGGTTTAGGGATGAGGGCAGTTAGCATCTTTCCACGATGGGGGCCTTGCGGGTTTTAGAAGCGGAGAAGGGCCGTTACAAGCTCTGTCGGGCCCTGTGGGTGTATGCTGTTTAGGGCATTGGGTTTCGGAGTTTTCGGGTTTAGATCTTAGGGTTCAGGGTTCAAGTTTTTGGGGCAAGGTCAGTATCTAGAAACCCAGGGGTCCCCTTGGTCCCTTGTTGTGGCTTCATGCTGAAATGGGTACGAGCGCCTTACGGCGCAGACCAAGGTCATGATCATTGGGACAGTCGCCTACTATTTCCGAGGCCACTGGCAGTGCAGGCTGGCTCTCTTGCGGATTTGTGTTTACGGTTCAAGTGGCTCTTTTGGGGACTTTGTGCTTGGGCTTCAGGGTTGTTCATATTGTTAATAGAGTCTTGGTGCTAAGGTTTGGAGTTTACGATTATGTTTTGTGGTTTCTTTCTCTCTCTCTTTATCTCACTTTGCCTCTGCCTCTCCCTTTCTCCCTCTCTCGCACGCTCTCGCTCGCTCTTCCATCTCCGTCGCACACTCTTCCTCACTCTCGCTCTCTGCACCTCTCTCTCGCTCCCTCATTCCTCTCCAGCAGCTTAACCAAAGCACAGGCTTTGTGGGCACGGCTCCAGTTTTTCCGCAGAGAGTGTTATTCAGGTTTTAGGAATCCTGAACATAGGCGGTGAACCTCGTTCCATCCACTTGTTGAGTGACTTTATACTCTCTAAGCCATGTTTTAAGTTCTTGGCGTGTGATAGTAACCTTTTAGCAACCCTTCCGCTTGCAGGAAATCGAAGGTTGTTCCCGTGCCCAGCCAACAGCCGACACAATGGGCTCCTAGCGGACAGGAGCGGGACACAGCTACATGCCTCTGGCTTCAGGGTTTGAGGTTTAACGCTCAGGGTCTATACAGGGATTCTAATGATTAATGGGGGAAACCGCAATGCGGTATGCCGTAGCAGTCTAGTTTCATCTTCCTCTGGTTTGGACGGTCTCAATATATTCACAGATGGGCTTTCGGAACTTTGACCTGCATGCTTTTTCTGCCGGCAAACCCGGCTATCATAAGCCAGGCAGATGCCGCATGACATCAAGCCGGTGTTTGGCCCCGCTTGCTTTGCCTTCGCTCAGCTTACTAGAGCAGTGGTGACCACCACATGTACATTGCTTGCAGTTCTTGTGTTCCCAAAGGCTCCATGTACCCATATAGTAGGTACTTCAAGGCCATATAATGGTCCCTTTAAGGCCTAAGTACCTACTATATGGGTACATGGAGTCTTAGGGTGTGTTGTCACTCTGATTCCCGCCCCCCGCCCTCACCTGTGTCCGGTCTTGCTGGTTCCTGCGATGCAAACTCGGCATTGCACGTTGAACTTTGCGGCGGCCTTTTTGCTGATACTGAAGGCCCTAATGTCGGCAGATGCTGAAGTGAACCCTCATCCGCTAAGCCTAAACTGCCTAAACTCCGAAATCCTAAATCCAAAGCTCTGCAGATGGTTCCCCTAAAACCTCAACCTAAAATCCTAATCCGTTCGCTAAAGATTTGTCAATGCTCTCAGCTTCCTGCGCAACGGACGTAGAATGCTTAGAGTTCAAAGACCTCCCCAGGGCGGCATGTAGGTTTAGGATTTAGGGTAGGGGTGGTTAGGATTTAGTACTAGGGTGCTTAGGGTTTAGGGATGTTTAGTGTCTATAATTATAGTTGATACTTAGGTCTTGGCGAAGCCCAGGCATATACTTTATCGGCACATGAAGCCTTAGGGCGAGTGTTTCGTGTTCCTGAAGGGCTCGTAATTAGGTTGAGGATATGGGTTTTAGGATCCAAAACCCTAAGCCCCTCAACGCTAAACCCCTACACCCTCAACACTAAGCCCTAAACATCCCTAAACCGGAAGCTTCAGTGGATTAAAGGCTGTGTAAAGACTCCGAGACTCTAATCAGGAGAAAAACACCTGGGCACCTCGAGTTGGAGGAGAAGAGGTGCCCTAGCGATGCTTTAGGGGGAAAGTGTTGCAGAGTGTTATAAAGTTTTGGACGACGGGCAATATGACAATATGGGTGGTCCGTGGAGTCTTCATGTTTATGGCTTATGGCGTTTTACAAGGTCTACAGGGTTTCATGAGCCTGATGATTTCCCGCCTTTTCGGCCTGCTTAGGACTGTGTGGATTAGGGGTTGG